GTCGCGAGCTCGATCCGTCAGCGGAACGGGAAGCGGAGCCGTCGGCCGGCGGGGCGGAGCTTCAACCACCCGGAGCTCGTTCGGCCCCGTCCCCGGCAGGACCCGTCTCGCAAGTTCTGGTGATGCTTTGGCTCCGCCCCATTCACCGCCATCTTTTCTGCCCCTCCCACCGCCGCGGAGGCCGTTTCCAAGCTCAGCGGCTCCTTCGACGCTCTCGTATTGGCCTTTGGCTTCGCCCGCCCCGCCCCACCAGGAACACACCCGCCAATCGCGGGCCGGCGTCCGTGGTACTGCTCCGTCTCCGCCGGGTGGGATCTTTGGAGCTTTTCTGGCCTTCGAATATGAACGAGGCTTTGCGGCGCCGTCGACGGCATCGGGCCGGGACCCTTGGCCTCCTCCTCCCGCGACCGGCACGGAGGCGGCGCTCGTCCCGCGTCACGTGACGACTTTGTCAGATGTCCTCTGGTCATTTGCCGCTTTGTCAGACGCGCCCCCTGAGACGCGGGAGGCGGGACCGCGGACGGCCACCTTTCACGTCGACTCGGCGTCCTACCGGCGGGCTTTGGGGAGCCCCGCCCTTTTCACGTCCTCGCAGCCCCGTCGGCACCGAAGCCCTCCTCTTCCTCGTCGAAGCACGCCGCTTCCTCCAAGGACCGCCCCCCTCCCTCATTTGATCCCCCGTCCTTCTCCGACCCCGCTTCTTCCGCATTTGACGCCGCTTCGTCCTCGGCCGCCGCCTCGCTTGACTCCTCCCCTGAGCCCGCCCCCCGCGCCTCGCCCGTCCTCAGGCGCGCAAGGTGTTCCCGCCCTCGCATTGGCCACGCCTCCGAGCGCCGCCTCTTCCGTCCTCCCGCCGCCGAGCCCCTCCGCCGTCCACGTACGCCGTCCCCAAAACGACATGGCTGCGGGCCTGTGGGGGGCGTGTCCATGCACGCGCGGCAGCGATTGGACGAGGGACAGTAGGTCAACCTGAGCAATTCTAATTCCAATCGTTCCGATCGATCACGTCTCGTATCAGATGGAGCCTTTTAGTTCATTTGGCCTTTTTGATTGGCGCTTCTTGGGTGACGTGACAGCTGTCAATCGATAGAGTGGGCGGGATCTTTTTGGGCTCTGGTGGCTGGTGATTGGCTCATGGATGAAATGACCCGGGGCCTCGTTTCTCAAGCGTGCGTACCCACAGGAGCGCGCCGAGCAACGTTCCCGCGCAAAGTACCGGGCTGATCGATTTGGACTTGTGCGTAGTTACGAAAAGTGTGTCGCCCTCGAGTGCAGGAGAATTCTCGTCTGTGGGCCGCGACGCGTTTTTCTTTCGTTCTTTGTCTTGAAACGAGGTCATTTCAAATTGCTCATTTTTTATTTGATCTGGAAGACCCAAACGCCGTTGACGTGTTTGCTCTCCTCAGACAATTAGACCTCAAAATGTGGAAGATTCTCGACGGGGGAGGGGGGCTCTTTGCGATGTTAAGGGATTGATACGACGCTATGCGGACGCTCAATGCAAATAAGGCCGGATGTGCGTCGGCATTTGAGAAATCCGCCATTTTGTTGAACGCGCTCCATTTCAGTCGCACGAACACATTTCGGACCCGTTCCGCGAACTCTTTGACAAACGAGGCCTCGTGCCGCTCCCCCTCACGCCGCCGCGCCTCATCTCCTTCCCGACTGCTTTTTTGTACAATGACGCTGGTGAGCTGGGTTGCCAAAATCAAAGAGAAGAGCAGCTTCTTGTGTGTGAACTGCCCGTCAAGTGGAGTAAAACGTTTGGTCGGGGTCTCCTGTGTGCGCAGAGGCCTTGTTCTACAGGCTGGCTTTGGCGGCGCACGACGGGAGCTCGACGCTGACTCCGGCCGACGTGAAGGAAGCCGTCGCCTTGTGGGTAAGGTCGCCGCGTCGCCGCCCGACCGCATCGATGCGTGATCCGAGCCGCTTCTCCTCGCGAGGGTCCGGAAACTGTCCCGGCCGTCCTCGGGCAGTAGGCGGGGCAAAACCCCGAACGGCTTGCCGGCTCGTCGCAGGCCCCGCGCGCGGACAAAGAACCGTTCGCGCTCACGATCGCTCCGAAGGACACTTTCGAGCTTTCAGTAAACCTAGCGTGCGTGTTTTGGGGAAGTGGGAGGAAACCGCCGGGGTAGCCGGAAAAAAAGCTACGCCGGCGCAGAGACTCCGCGCAGGAAGGCCCGGCCGGGGCCTTGACTGACCACAGTGGAGGCTCATGCTCCACTTTGGCTAATGCTCAGGGAATCTGGTCCTCGAATAGATTTGGGCTGTTGCTCATGTTGGGTTCAAGCTAAATGAGTCTGTCGCTAATGCAAATGTTCGTCTAACGTTGGCCGTGTGCGTTTGCGACGGCAGCTGAACGAGACCTTCCGCAACTGGACTCGCGCCGTCTCCGTGGACTTGCTCAGGTGAGTCTCAGCTCAGCGGAGGAAAAGATGGCATTGCCGCGCGCGCGTCACACTGACCCAGACTTTTCTACTTCCCGCAGCGTCCGGCCCGAAGGTCACTCGAGGTTGAAGCCTTCGCCTGTCATGTTAAAGGTCACGCTCACCTCGCGTGTGGCGTTTACTTTGAGTCGCCGGTGTCGCGCAGCTTCCTGTGTCGCGCGCTGTTGCGCCACCGTGACGTCGCGGATGACGGCGGCGACGTCCCAGCGCTGGTCCGCGACAGAATCTGCAGCGGCGAGCTTCCCCTTGGCGCCGGTCTCGAGGTCCACGCGAACTCTGTTCACGTCAGCCCCTTGGGTAACACCGCCAGGCGCTTTTGTTCCCGTCCTTTGCTGACCCGTCGTCCTTGTTCTTGTTCCCGATGTCATTTCAGTCAATTCTGACTTGGAAGTTGGACGATGAGGTGTTTTGGCCGGAATTGGCCATGGCTTCCTTTGCCTGGGCTGGATGGCGGTCCCACTCCGCAACAAAAAAAAAAAAAACTCCTTTGCATATCGTCAATGTACGGGATAAAGAGAAGTGGTCCCAATATGGAGCCCTGTGGAACCCCATGCTCAGTCGCGGTGTTTCACGTAGACAAAAAGTATTGTTCCCTTCCAAAAAGCAGTCAAGGTCTCGACCTTTGATGCCATCATGGTGTTATTTCCTCACCAGTATGTCAGTATTGATTGGGTCAAAAGCTTTGAACCCCCCCCCGCCCCCCCCCAAAAAAATAAATAAATAAAACACCAAAACTCCTCACTCACCGCCGTCAATATTCAGGTTTTTTCAATGGCCTCAGGCATTGCCATCCGGGGGTAGTCGTAACCTTGCAACGTCCATCCATCCATTTCTTCTTCTTGTCTTTTTGGTCGTCCCGGCTGACAGAAAAATGATGTTGATGATGTTCCTGTTCCCGTCCTGCCAGAGAACTGTCCAGAAGACGACACGGTGCACTACCGGTGGCCGAAGAGCCCGCCCGGCGCCGCCCACTTCCTGCCGTGCTTCCCCAACAAGGAGCGGAGCGCCACCCGCAGCTGGTAACAAACAACACGTGCATGCAGAGAGAAGTGCCGCAAATAGGTTGCAGACTTGGACCGGTACAAAGACCTGGACAGCACATACTCGTGCCGATTCAAATCGTTGACTGAAGTCAAAATGAAAAAGTTGAGATTCTGAAATGTAGAAAAGCAAGAAGACGAGTCAGGTCTTGACCGTCAGTTCAAGTCAATGCGCATTTGGATCACCTGGCATGACAAGAGACTCCTTTGCACACCAAATATTTGGCCTCTTCCATTGTTGGAAAGCAAAAGGCAAGTGGGGGGAGTGCGCACGCTGCACCAAAAGCAATAATTGCTTCCGGAAATCAACGGTGCAGTCGCTTTTATTTCCGTGGTGCGCTCAGGAAGTGGCATGGGGGTTCTCGCGAGTCTCTCTCTCTCTCTCTCTCTCTCTCTCACCCCCCTCAGTTTGATCGACCATCACAACATTTCATCCTTCTGGTCATCCGCCGACTTCAGCAACTGCACCGACATCGACGCGATCCAGGTTTCGGCAGGTAGCCCGGCCCCCCGCGGTCCGGCGACACCGATGGCCCCGCGGCGCCGTTCCTAATGCTTTGTCTCGTCTCGGCTCCAGAGAATGCGGCCGAGGTTGCCGTGCGGCTCGCCGCCATCACCGACAACCGGCTGTCCCGGGAAGAGGTGAGCCCGCCGTCCTCATCGCGCCGCCGCCCGCCGTCCTCATCGCGCCGCCGTCCGCTGTGGCTTGGTGCGCGCAGGTGTCCAAAGTGGTGAGCAAAGTGCAACAGCTGGTGAACGTGGCCGACATCAACAGCGGCTTGGCCTCCACGGTGGTCACCATCATCTCCAACGTGATGAGCAGCCCCCACAGCGCGCTCGCGCCCGCCTCGGACAGGTTCGGCGCCTGTTTGGAACCTTGCGCCGCCGTCGGCTTCTCCGACATGCAACATGACTCGATGCGCGTTCCGAAGAAACGTGTCGTTCACGCGTCCCGAGAACGCTCGCCAAGGGTGTCTTGTTGTCAGGGCACTGAGGGCGGTGGATCATCTTCTGGACAAGTTGCGCTTCCAAGGCTCCAGCGTGAGCATCGGGTCCAGGAGGCTGGCTCTGGGGGTGTCGGCCTTCAACGCGTCCGCCTTCAACGGGACGTCCTTCAGCGCCTTCGTCCCGGCAAACTCGACCGAGCCGCAGGTAACGTTGCCGGCGCTCCGCCGTCCAAAGCGGCGCTTTGTTGAAGACCCCCCCCCCCCACCCGCCCCCTTCAGGTCGGCTTTGAGTCGGAGCACATCAACTCGCTGGCTCGGGTCACCCTCCCGCCCTCGCTGTTGTCGGGCGCGGACCCCTCGGCCCCGACCCGGATCAACTTCCTGTTCTTCGGCACCACCGGCCTCTTCCAGGTCCCATTTCACCTCTCGTCCTCTCACGGCCGCGCTCGTAGTACGTTCGCCTCCTCCGAGGTCTCCGATGTTCCTAACGCGTGCGTCCAATGTCGGCGACGCGTCAGCCGGAGCAGGACGGCCGCGCCCTGATCAGCTACGTGGTGGCGAGCAGCGTTGCGAGGCGCGGCGTGAGCGAGCTGAAGGATCCCGTGGAGATCCACATCAGCCACCTGGCGCCTCAGGTCAGCTGCTCCCTTTTCTCTTCTTGCTTCCACATCAGATTTGGCCCTAACCCTAACCCATCGTCTCCTTCCAGACCCTCCTCAGCCCGCTCTGTGTGTTCTGGGACTTCAGCATGAACGGTCAGTGATGAGGAGGAGGAGGAGGGAAGACCGGAAGGAGAATTGATGACGTCGGCGCCCGAGAGTCAACCTGGTGTCTTTGCGTGCGCGTCCACTAGGTGGCGGCGGCGGCTGGAACGGCGACGGCTGCCGCGTGGCCGCAGAATCTGGTGTCAACAAAACGGTTTGCCTGTGTGACCACCTGACCCACTTCGGCATCCTCATGGTGAGTGCGGGCGGGCGGGGGGGCGGGCGTGCCGCTTCGCGCTGATTTGTGCGCTTTCTTTTCGGGCTCAGGACATTTCGGGAGCGTCTCCGCACATTGACCGGCGGAACAACCGCATCCTGACCTTCATCACCTTCATCGGCTGCGGCGTGTCGGCCATCTTCTCGGCGGCCACGCTGCTCACCTACGCGGCCTTCCGGTGAGTTGCCCCGCCCTGCCCGCGCTTCAAGTGAACTTTTTGTCAAAAGCGAGGATACGTCTCACTCTCTCTGTCGCTCTCACACGCACACTCAAATTCAAGCTAAGCGTGTCTTTTTCTCTGATGAAAGTCTGACATTTTTGTTCGGAGAGATCACGTCAAACGCCGTCGATGGGCGAACGCGAGCTGACATGGATTCAACCAAGCGCCGCCTCACAACGCGGCGCAGCTCTCGCACAAACGGCGTACGACAGAAGCGCTCGGCCATTTCTTCCCTCCCCGACGCGGCGCCGACGACCGCAACCGAAGCGAAGCGTCGTCGGGAAGCTTCCGGGCCGCTTCTTCTTGCCGCGACTCGCGCCGCATCTCTTCCGGGACCGCGACGCGGTTCCGCGTCCAAGGCACGCCGCTCCAAATTGGCCCTCGCGCCCGGTGCCGTAAAGACCCGGCAGAAAACAAACGGGCCCCAGAACGCCAGTTGACCGGAGAGCTTTCGTGGGAAGGACTGACAGATGACCTCCGCCGTACGCTCGCGTTCGTCTCCCGGGTTGAGCTTGACCGCGTTTGACTCGGGCGTCTCGCGCGGCCCCGACTCCGGTGTGCCGGCCCGTCTCGTGCAGGAAGTTGCGTCGAGATTACCCGTCCAAGATCCTGATGAATTTGAGCGCGTCGCTGCTGCTCCTGAACGTGAGCTTCCTGCTCAACGGCTGGTTGTCGGGGCGACGCGGCGAGGCGCCGTGCCTGGCGGCCGCGGCGCTGCTTCACTACTTCCTGTTGACGTCCTTCACGTGGATGGGCCTGGAGTCGGTGCACATGTACATCGCGCTGGTCAAGGTGTTCAACACTTACGTGCGCCGCTACATCCTCAAGTTCTGCCTGCTGGGCTGGGGTGAGTCCTTTTCCGGCCTTTTGCCGTCGAGTCCCGCGGCCTCGACGGGCGGGCTCGGCAACTCATATGAACGCGCGTCGCGCCGCAATTGTCTCGCGCCCGCAGGCCTTCCCGCCGCGCTGGTGGTCTCGGTCCTGGCCGTGGATCAGCGCTCATACGGACGGCAGGAATACGGCGGCGGACGGTTCGGCGAAGGATCGTCGCAGTTGTAAGTTTCGACGGATCGGCCGCCGACTGACCGACTGGCGGCTCGATGGCGAGATTGGTCTTGGCCGCGAGAGCGTTGATTCGCAACCGCGCGCGGCCGATCCGACACGGATGTCGTACGCGCACGCTAACGGCTTTGCGGCGCGCGCGCGCGTCCTCTCTCTCCGCAGCTGTTGGATCCGCAGCGCGGCGGTGTTTTATGCGGCGTGCGTGGCCTACTTCTGCCTGGTCTTCCTGCTCAACGCGGCCATGTTTGTTGTGGTCATGCTGCAGATCTGCGGACGCAACGGCAAACGCGGCAACCGCACGCTGCGCCAGGAGGTACCGTGACCCGTCGCCATGCCGCGTCCGTTTTGTCGGCCGCCTCGTCGCCTCGGTCACGCCGCTCGCCTCCTGTGCGGCGCTCAGGTGGTGCGGAACCTTCGCAGCGGCGTCAGCCTAACCTTCCTGCTCGGCATGACGTGGGCCTTCGCCTTCTTCGCCTGGGGGCCGGTCAGCCTGGTCTTCGTCTACCTATTTGCCATCTTCAACTCGCTGCAAGGTGACCGCCCGCTGACGGACTTGGAAGGAATTCCGTCCGTTCATTTTCCGATCCGTGAAACAAACAAAAAAAGATCCCGAAACCCCCCCCGAGTGAACGGGTGAAATTGCAAGCCCCATACGGCCACGCCCATCACGACTGACACCCGTGACTCATCGCCATTTTTCCTTCTTCTTCTTGTTTTGAACGCGCACACGGCCACGCCCATCACGACTGACACCCGTGACTCATTGCCATTTTTTTCTTCTTCTTCTTGTTTTGAACGCGCACGAAGGCCTCTTCATCTTCTTCTTCCACTGCGCCCTCAAAGAGAACGTTCAGAAGCAGTGGAGACGCTCGCTTTGCTGCGTTCGCCTCAGACTCTCCGAGAACTCCGGTAACCTCCTTGGCCTTTCTTCATGCACATCCTCATCGCGGTCATCGCCGAGTCGCGAGGGAAACTCAGCGGGGGGCGCGCTCGCTTTGCTGCGTTCGCCTCAGACTCTCCGAGAACTCCGGTAACCTCCTTGGCCTTTCTTCATGCACATCCTCATCCTCATCCTCATCGCGGTCATCGCCGAGTCGCGAGGGACACTCCGAGGTCTTTGCGGGACCTTGGGAAACGCGAGGAAATCGCGGCAACCGCAACGTATCGGTCGGTCCCTTGCCTTTGGACCTTTGCCGGTCGCGTGCCCGATCCTCCGTCGGTCCAAAGTGTCACGACGCACCGAGGCGCCATCGCAGCCGCGCAATCCTCGGAAAACGCGTCGTCACGATTGAGTTTCTGAAGTTTGGCCGGCGCCGAGTACACGGACGCAAAGTCGCGCGTTTGCTCCTCCAGTACGGATTGTTTTGCGCGTCTTCTTTTGAGGCGGCTCCAAATGCGACGTGTCTGCCGTGTGGCTCTTGGAATCGGGCCGACGACGCCGGAGGGGCGTCCGCTTCTTCTCGCTCTCGGTTCTGCCGCGTGTCCTCCCGCAGAGCTCGGTGCTGCTGCCCGCTTTGCCGAACTCTCACGCAACTCGACGTTTTGGATCAAAATCTGCCACGCAGTGCCGGGTTGATTCGTTAAAAGTTCCAGGCGACAATATCAGCTGTGATGGTGATGGTGATGATGATGATGTCGTCGTCATCGTGGTTCACACGACTCAACCGTGTGTCAGACTGGAGTAAAACGGCAACCAACAACACAAAGAAGGCGTCTTCGGAGCAGGCCGTCCAATCCCTGTCATCGTGCTCCTTTGGCTCCGGCGCCACCTACTGGACGTCCAAGGCCAAAATCAACCTGCCACCCTTCAGCAACACAGGTCTCACGCACACAATTAACATGTCAGAATACTGTTTGTGAGTATTAGGCAGTGAAATGACTTCTGAACGCATACAAATAAGAATCTGTCAGGATTTTGATGACCGCGTCGATGATGCCATGTCAGGGTGGGGGACTCGGGGAATAAAAAAATCTCCAAATAGATGAGTTGATTTAGCGAATGCCAAGTCTGAATTAGACGGGAGACCGTTTTAGTCCCCTGCCAACTTGACCCCGTCAAGTTTGCCATCACGTCTAAAACGGCCGCTCCGCAAAGGCGAGCTCCAGAGGGATCAACTTGTCGTCGTTTCCATCTTCTTTGTGTCGGCAGAAAAACCAAACGGGACCGGTCCCTTTTCCTCCAAGGCGGAGTCCATCTCGTCATCGTCATTGACGTCCTCCCGTCCGTCCTTCCCGTCAGCCAGATGATTGACGAGAACGACGGCTAGCGCCGAGCGCGCTCCGACGCCTCCGAAAAGAAGGGCGCTCACGCTGAGCAACTGTAACCCCGCCCCCTACCGCGCCCCGTCAGAACGCCGTCATGTCACGACAAACGGGAAGTGACATGACGGCGTGACCAAATCTTCAGGAATGTCCGGCGCCCGCCAGGTCGTCCTCCACGGACGGCCTGGCGGGCGCCCGGGTGGCGGCCGGGCGGATGCCGGGCGGATGCCGCGCTGGTCCCCGGGCGTGCGTCTGCCTCGCGCCCCGCGGGTAAGCGGCGGCCGGTCGGTGGCCTTGCCGCCCAAAGACCAAGGCCGGGAAAAGCAACCGTGGAAGAAGAGCCTTGTTGACAGACCTCACGCAAAGGGCGTCCGCCGCACTTGCCCTTGCACCGTCCCCCCATCTTGTGTAACAGCAGATTGTGCTGATATGCGCTCACTCGAAAAACGCTCGAGAGTAAATTGTTGTGCTTTCACAGTCTATACATGTAGAAGTAACTTCTGTTAGTTCATGTGATTTGATAGTTTGACATGTTTAATAAAAAGAAAAGAATGACTCCGAAAATGCTGAATTCGGAGGACGCGGCCTGCGACTCACAGGCCGCGTCCTCGAAAGGCCGCATTTTTCGGCCGCCTGACGTCACTTCCGGCGCCACGCGACTATACGTGCTTGCGTTCTTCCGACGTGAACACAAAAGAAGACGAGCGTTTGTAGATTGCGGTTCCTGAGTGAACGATCTCTCGTGGACCTCATATGAAAGTTGATCTATTTTGTCATACAATGGTACGCTTGTCAATGAAATCTCAATAAGAACAACGAAAACGGAGGAAGCCGCCTGTGGATTTGTGGACGCGGCTTGCGAGTGACGTCACAATGAAGTCGATCTTTCCAATTTGGCCACTCGGACCTCCCCCTGAAAAGGGGCGTTGGGGAGCACCTTCCCGACTCCCCTCGCGGCTCGGCTGCAATCACCGCTGCTCTCGAGACGTCCAACGTAAGAATCGTCTCCTCTGCTCGTTTCCTCTTTTTCGTGTGCTTTTACCGGTTCCGTCTGGATTTCTGTGCTATGCGGGCTCTTCCGTCCTGCGCTGTGGCGTTTAAACGGAAGCCAAAGGGGTAATTCGGCCGCGCCGCGCTTGTGTTTCGCCGTTGAGCTAACGGCTAACGTCGGACGGTTGAGCACGTGACGGGTCGCACCGAATGGTGACGTGGCCGGTGAGTGTGCCGAGCCAAACAATTGTGTCGCTCTGATGCGTTTGAATGCGAAGAAAACGTCAGAAAGTGGCGGAGTACGTCAGAAAGTGGCGTACTCCGAGTACGCCACTTTCTGACGTTTTGAGTTGAGAATAAACTTGGCTTTGGATGAAAGCGCTGACAATCACCCGAGAGTTGGGAGGGTCACTCTCGTTCCGGCCCCCTCCTTCAACGTTTTCAGGTCGGCGCGCTCATCTCAGCTCATCTCATCTCATCTCATCGCCCAGCGCGTTCTCAGCTGCGTTCGCGGCTGCTTTCAGGTGACGTCAAACGGAAGACTTCTCTGCTTGTTTCCATTTTGACACGTTTTTACTCTCTCCTTCTGGGTTTCTGTGCTAAGCGGGCTCTTCCGCTCTGGGCTGTGATGCGGTGTGGCGTTTGAAGGGAAGCTAAAGTGTCATTCGGCCGCGGCAGTCGTCAAATCCATTTGCTTTGATGTGTCTCAATAGTCGCAAAGCCGTCGTACTCCGCCATTAACTTTGTATTGGATGGAATAGCGCATGAAAGCCCCCGGGACTCCCGGGGGCGGCGGCTGCTGTTGCCGGCCCCTCAATTAGCTTCTGCCGGTTGGCGCAGTCATCTCATCAAGGGGTGTCCAAAGTAAGCATCTATTCGCTTGTCTGTTTTTTTTCCCTCTTGCTATTGAAATGCGTTTCTACGGTTTTGGTCCGGATTTCTGTGCTGGGCCGGCTATTGCGTTCTAGCCTGCGATGCTGTGCGCTCATCAAACGCAAGCCCCGGTTGGATTGAGCCAATCGCGTTAACGGCTAACGCGCTTTGATAGGCACGTGGCGGAGCGGCACGTTCTCTGTTGTTTTCAGGGGACTTCAAACGGAAGGATCTCTTATCTCGGCTGCGTGTTTTTCCTTTTGAAACAGCGCGATCGCCGGCTCAGTCTGGATTTCTTTGCTACGCGGGCTCCTTCGTTTTGGGCTGCGATGCGGTGTGCACATCAAACGTAAGGCCCAGTGTCATTTGTGTTCGGCCCGGTTGTGCAACCGTTAAGCTAACGGCTAACATGGATGCATGCGCACGGAACGGTGACGTGGCGAACGGGCGCGTCAAATAATGTTGCTTTGATGTGTGCGAAGAAAAGAAAATCAAAGTTGGGTACTCCGCCATTAACTTTGGATCGGATGATAATGTGTCAAAGCACCCCGGGGCCTCTCCTTGAAGGTTTCTGGTTGCCGCTGTCATCTAATAGCAGCGCATTCAATGTGTTGTTCGGGCGACGTCAAATGTAAGCATCTCGTCTATCAACTGCGTCATTTTTATTTTTCCCTTTGAAATGCGTTTTCACTGGATCAGTCTGGAATTCTTAGCGACGCGGCTCGTCTCTTCTGGGCTGTAATGCCGAAGAAGTGTGGAACGTCATGAACACTTTGAGCACGACGTCTCTGATCCACTGGTCAAAGGACACTTGGATTTTCTTCGATACCTGCTTCGAACAAGGCGGATGCAGGTATAGTGGGAACAATTGATGTGTTGTTTCACGACCATATTTTGTACTTTCATGTGAATCGCCTGAAAAGTGCTTTGTTTCAGATGCAGCTGTTATGAAAGCAGTAACTAACTAAATAACAATATATTGTATAACGTGTAACATTAACCCCACTTCTAACGCCCCACTCTATACTCAAATCCTACGCCAAACCCCTTAACCTGCATTCTTTCAGAAAGTTGCAGTGCCAAATTCTGACCAGCTCGGGCTGCTATTGCTGCTTGTGCACCGCTAAAGGGGGCTCTCAGATTTCGGAGGGAAGAACCCTAACCAAACTCTGTACGCTAATCCTCCTAAACTGAGCCCTAACACGCACCCCTGACCCTTTTTCTAACTCTTAACCCTCAGCATAATCTATCTAACCTCTATTCCTAACCCTATTACTTCACCCGATGCCGAAACCATCCCCAATCCTCGAACCCAAACACTAAACCCCGTAACACTCTAACCCCGAATGCCAAAATAATTTGAACAGTCAAACCATAAATGCCTAACCGCCTTACTCATAACGCCGAACATCTTAACTGTCAACCCGCCTTATGCTTACTGCCTAATCCTAACTCGAACCTTAACCCGTTAGCCTTACTCTAACTTCCGATCCCCAACCTGATGAAACCCTAACCACCGAACTCCAACCCCCTCACTCCCAAAACCAGGGGTGTCCAAACTCTGGCATCAAGGACCGCTGTCCGGCCGGTTTTCCAGCTCACCCGGGAGCAACACGCCTGATTCAAATAATCAGGATCGTTCTAATGCTGGCTGATGAGCTGATCATTTGAATCCGGTGTGTTGCACCCGTCAGAGCCGGAAAACAGGCAGGAAAGTGGCCCTCGAGCCCCTGAGCTGGACATGCCTACCCTAATACCCCAAATCCTCATGCTGAACCCCAACACCCTCGAATCAGTTTTTGTAAGAGGACGGCACAGTTTTCCAAGGGTTCTGAAATTGCCATTTATAACAAAACGAAAGATGTCCATCGCCATGTAGGACGTGTTACCAGTACTGGCCGGATCAGGGCAGCTGGACCTACGGGAACGTGCGCGTGGCAGTGAAGGACTCCGCCATGCTGGTGGGTTACGGCATACGCAAGTTCTATATCCAACACATACGCTGGCAGAAGCATTCAATGGCTCGTTCTGTGCAACGCTTGCCACGCTAACACTTTGTTACGTTCATCTCGTAGCAATCCGGCGATGCCGGCAAGATGTGTGGTCACGCAGCTCCATTTCACCAGCTGGCCCGACTCTCCCATCGGCATGCTCAAGTTCTCCAAGAAAGTCAAAGGCGCCCAATCCGCCCTTTGCGTCCATTGTGGGCCACTGCAGGTACACTGAAGGCGTCGCACTTCAAAATATTTCTCTGGCTAATATTAACAATATAGCTGTTGAAACTTACATGAGGTCCGAATATTTGGCGCAGGTCTGTACAACCTAATAGTAAATCAAGAAATAGTTCCATTCATAACTCTGGTGGCATCAATCCAAAGTTGACATGCCTGATGTTTACCCCACCCCCAGCGCCAGCGTTGGTCAGACAGGCAGGTTCATCGTGATTGTTGGGATGATGGACAAGATGCACGCCGGGCAGGAAGTGGACGTGTTTGGCTTCGTTTGGAAACCCGAGAGCAGCGTCTGCAGCTCTTCCAGACGGACGTGAGTCGGGGAACTGCCCCAAAACCTCGCTTTGTACATACGGTGTGGTAAATTCACACAAACGGTCCTGGTTCCTTTCTGTCTTGCAGATGCGTTATTTGTTCATCTACCAGGCGCCAAAATGCGTAACTCTTAACGGCCTAAACATAATCGCTTCATTGCCAAACCGACGAATGCTTGTTGTTATGACTATTTGTGATTTGATGTGAACTGTTCTGTAAAGCGCTTTGTTTCAGCTGCAAGTGTTGTGAACTAAAGATGTATCACCTCCGAACCGAACACCACCCCAAAGACTCAACCTAACCTCAATCCTACACTTTATCCTACCCCCAACTCCAACCTATGACACCCCAAACGTGTATTCTTTAGGTTTGCAGTGACTTAACTGATCACATTTCAGAATTACCCCGAACCCTCTCACCGTTCCTCTAACCTAAACCATAGCCCAACTTTAAACACTAAACCCTAACCCTTGCATCCTTCTAAAAGCGTCGAAACACCAAACCCAAACCGCCTGTATGCCGAACCCGAACAGCCTAAATGCGTCATCGCCTAACCGTAACCCGAACACCTGACTATCCTCTTAAACAAAGTCCCTCAAACCCTTACTCTGAACGCCTAACCTTTAATGCCTATACATCTAACCACCTAACCCAAGATGCCTATCTGCCTCACCCTAATTTCTAACCCCAATCTCAAACCTCGAGCGCTAACCCTGAACATCATACCTTCACCTCAACCATAAACCCCTAACACTGTCAACCCTCTAACTTTTAACCCTTAATCCTACCCCTAACCACTTTAACCATATTCCAAATGCTAACTCTAAACCTCAACCTGAATCCTAATTTCCCTTTACCCTCAAACCCAGGGGTGTCCAAACTCGGTCCTCAAGGGGTGCTGTCCTGCCTGTTTTCCAGCTCTCCCAGGAGCAACACGCCTGATTCAAATAATCAGGATCGTTGGAATGCTGCTTCAGAGATGGCTGATGAGCTGATCATCTGAATCAGGTGTGTTGCAGTCGGGAGAGGTGGAAAACGGCCAGGACAGCACCCCTTGAGCACTGAGTTTGGACACCCCTGGGTTTCAGGGTAAAGGGAAATTAGGATTAAGGTTAAAATTTTGAGTTGGCATTTGGGATATGGTTAAGGTGGTGAAGGGTAGGATTAAGGGTTAAAAGTTACGAGGGTTGACAGTGTTAGGCGTTTGTGGTTGAGGTGAGGGTATGATGTTCAGGGTTAGCACTTGAGGTTTGCGATTGGGGTTAGAAGTTAGGGTGAGGCAGATAAGGCATCTTGGGTTAGGTGGTTAGATGTATAGGCATTAAGGGTTAGGCATTCAGACTAAGGGTTCGAGGGGTTTTGTTCAAGAGGATAGTCCGGTGTTAGGGTTAGGGTTAGGCGATGACACATTTAGGCTGTTCGGGTTCGGCATCCAGGCGGTTTGGGTTTGGTGTTTCAACGCTTTTAGAAGTATGGTTTAGGTTAGAGGAACAGTGAGAGGGTTCGAGGTCATTCTGAAATGTGATCAGTTAGTCACCGCAACCCGAAAGAATACACGTTTGGGGTGTTGTCAATTGGAGTCTAACCCTAACCCCAATCTCAAACCTTGAGCTGTAACCCTGAACATCGTACCCTCACCTCAACCATAAACCCCTAATGTCAACCCTCTAACTTTTAACTCCTAATCCTACCCCTAACCACTTGAACAACATCCAAAATGCTCACTAAACTTTAACCTTAATCCTAATTTCCCTTTACCCTGAAACCCAGGGGTGTCCGAACTCGGTCCTCAAGGGCTGCTGTCCTGCCTGTTTTCCAGCTCTCCCACGAGCAACACATCTGATTCAAATAATCAGGATCGTTGTAATGCTGCTTCAAAGATGGCTGATGAGCTGATCATCTGAATCTGGTGTGTTGCAACGGGGAGAGATGGAATGCATGCAGGATAGCGGCCCTTGAAGAACAAGTTTGGACACCCCTACCCTACTTTATCCCTAATCCCCTCACCCAATCCCAAAATTAACCCCCAACGTAAACCATAACCCCCGAACCACCTACACATAACACCTAAAACCCTAAATCTTATGACCTCTCGCCCCAAATCCAACTCCTAGCGCAAACCCTAAACCTTCATCCGAATTCTCGATAACCTTCCAACCACAAATACCTAATCACTTAAGGAAAACTGCCTAACTGCCGAAACACCCAATCCGAACACCTGACCCTCCTCTTTTAACACCTAACCCTCGAACCTGATTCTTTGAACCCTCGCACTGAACTTCAAAACACCTTACCACCTAACCCAAGCATCCTAACGGCCTAACCCTTACCCTGAATCCTACCTTATCTGAACCCCAAACCCGACTCTTAAACCCTAACCCCACTGATGACTCCTAACACAAATGCCTAACCTCAAACTCCTACCCTAACCTCTCACAGCTCACCCTCTAACCCAAAGGCTTAACTGCCTAGATGACTGCCTAATTTCTAAATCCAACTCATAACATTAAACCCAAACCTGCTTAATCCAACCTTTAACGCTGACTTTCTCACACCCAACCCTATCCCCCCAACTACCTAACACTTAACCCTCTAATCCAAAAACCCTATCTCTAACCCTAACCCGCTCACCAAATTCCAAATCCAGGTGCTTGTTCTTTGCACCCGTAATGAGCATTTTTCACAGGCCTGGTTTATTTAGTGGAGATGACAGTGCTGTTGCACAGTCTGCGCTGGTGCGGATGGATGGCTTGTGGAGCTGAGGATGAGGCGAGAGGAGCGTCAGTGCTGACCGTCGATGCATATTTGGAATTGAAACGAATTTACGGTACAGCAGTGAACCAGTCTTTTTTTCGTCAATGGATGGTACAGCTTCTTGTTTACTTTCAAACTTGGCTTGTTGCAGATGTGTGCACATATTGAGCATAACTTCTCTGATCCACTGATGAGATGACACGATTGCTCTTTCATCTAGAACTGCTTGAAACAACGGATATGATAAGATAAGATAAGATATCCTTTATTTGTCCCACACTGGGACAAATATGCATCCATATGCAGGAGAACTGTCTCCGATTGCATGACTGTCCGTGTTTTATGTGATGTATATTTTGTTGATTAATGTTAGATGTTTATCCTGATGTAAAGAAACCCGCCTTGGGGCTACAGGTGAAAACCAGCATTTAGAAGTATGCCGCATTTCCGCTGTTTATTCTTGTTGATGAATGTGCACTGTTCCAATAAAATAATAAATCTTGAACCCAACTCGGAATGCTAACCTCCTCACAACCCCTAACACTAACCCTGTACCCTCACTACTAACCTAAACCAAAACCCTCAAATCGCCGACCCTAAACTCCCCTGAACCCTAACCTCTATAATCCTTAACCCAATGTTAAATCCTCTAACCCTAACAGCTAATGCTCCCCTTAACCTGACAAATCTTGCGAACCTGAACCCAATTCTCCCGTAACCCTCTAACCATAAACAACCCACCTAACCAAAATGCTGAAACCAAACCGCTGAAAGGCTCTCACCACCGAACCCAAACACCTGACCCTCCTATTTACCCCAACCTCGAATCATAACCTCTAACCGGAATCCTTTCTAACACTTAACGCCTAAACACCTAACACCTCAAATTCTAACCCTACACCTTACCCAAACTCCTAAACCTTAACACCTAACACCACTCTTAAGAATCCCTAGTCCCTCTAACTTCTAATCCTAACTATAGCCCTACAATTTATCTGAAGCTAAACCTTAACTGCCTAACCTAAAACACCTAATTCTAACCCCTTAACCCTAAATGCCTAAAATCCAAACGTCCTCGCCTTCTACCTTCCTAAACCTTAACAACGCTAACCTCACACCTAACCCTCCAAAACCTAAGCCTCTCACCCGAACACCCATTTACCTAAAACACTAACCCCCACCCCCCTGGAATTCTCCCACCCTAATCCCCGTAACCCAACATTTTATCCCCTAAACCGCTAGCCCCTAATCCTAACCCTTCACCCTTAACTCTGCTTCAACCGCAACCCCTAACCCTCATCCGTACTGCAGGCATGTCCAACCCTGGGCCTGGAGGGCCACTGTCCTGCCTGTTTTCCACCTCTTCCAGCTGCAACACACCTGATTCAGATGATCAGCTCATCAGCCATCTCTGAAGCAGCATTAGAACAATCCTGATCAGTTGAATCAGGCGTGTTGCTCCTGGCAGAGTTGGAAAACAGTCAGGACAAGCAGCCCTTGAGGTCCGAGTTTGGACACCCCTGCTCGACCATGAACCCCTCTGCCTTTCACCTTAATCCCCTCACCCAAACCCTAATTCCATAACTTTCAATGCCAACACCCGTCCTTGTACTCTAACCTCTAAACCATGACTCCCTACCCTAACCTCTTAACCTAATTAAAAACACAAACCCTCTAATCCTAACCCCAAAGCCTTGACCCATAAAATGTTAGCCCCTAATCCTAACCCGATTTGACACTGCAACCCCCAAATCCGAGCCCCAGCCCTAATCCCTACCTCAGGCATGTCCAGCTCCGGGCCTGGAGTGCCACGGTCCAAACTGTTTTCCACCTCTTCCAGCTGCAACACACCTGATTCAGATGATCAGCTCATCAGCCATCTCTGAAGCAGCATTAGAACAATCCTGATCATTTGAATCAGGTGTGTTGCTCCTGGCAAAATTGGAAAACAGTCAGGACAAGTGTCCCTTGAGGACCGAGTTTGGACACCCTAATCCCCTCACCCAAACCCTAATTCCCTAACCTTCAATGTTAACACCTGTCCTTGTACTCTAACCTCTAAACCATGACCCCCAACCTTACACCCCCTAATCTCTTAACCTAACTAAACACTAATCCTAACCCCTTAACCTAACCTGATTTGACACTGCAACCCCCAAATCCGAGCCCCAATCCCTACCTCAGGCATGTCCAGCTCCGGGCCTGGAGTGCCACTGTCCTGCCTGTTTTCCACCTCTTCCGGCTGCAACACACCTGATTCAGATGATCAGGTCATCAGCCAGCTCTTGATTCATTAGAATGATCCTGGTTATTTGAATAAGGGGTGTTGCTCCCGGCAGAGCTGGAGAACAGGCTGGACAGTGGCCCTTGAGGACCAAGTTTGGACACCCCTGCCCTATCCTGAAACCCATTATCCTGAATGCTAACCCTGTACCCTCACCCCTATCCTAAACCATAACCTTTGAATCCCCTACTCTAAACCCCTAACACCTTAAACGCCCTAGCCCAATTTTAAATCCTACCTCCTAATTCCCTAACCAGAGCCTTAACGCTAACCCCGCACTTTACCCCTAATCCCCTGTAACCTCACCATAAATGCCGAACCACCAAAATGCTAAACACCTAACTGTCTCATGCCTAACCTCAAATTTTAACCCTGAATGCCTAACCCAAGATAAACTCTACTCCTAGCCCCTCTAACATCTAATCCTAACTCTAGCCCTACACCTTGTCTTAACCTAAACCCGACTTCACACCCTAACCTAAAATGCCTGAAAGCAAAACGTCCTCGCTAATAATACTTTTACAATTTTTGTAAAATTGTATGTTGCGCTATATAAACTTATTTAGATCGACTGCAGCACATGGGTTAAATCCTACCTCCTAATTCCCTAACCAGACCCTTAACGCTAACCCCGCACTTTACCCCTAATCCCCCTGTAACCTCACCATAAATGCCGAACCACCAAAATGCTGAATGCCTTTTTGCCTAAACACCTAACTGTCTCATGCCTAACCCAAGATAAACTCTACTCCTAGCCCCTCTAACATCTAATCCTAACTCTAGCCCTACACCTTGTCTTAACCTAAAATGCCTGAAAGCAAAACGTCCTCGCCCTAACTTTTACCTTAACCCACAACCATGACCTTCTCACACCTAACCCCCCCACCCTAACCTCTTGACCAACCCTGAACGTGAGCCCTTGAAACCCCCAGTCCACCCTTTACCCCCTAAAATGCTAGCCCTTAATCCCTAACCAGCTTCACCCGCGGCCCCTAAATCCTAAAACTAAATTGAAACCCGAACCCTCTTCCATACTCTAGGCATGTCCAGCTCTGGGCCTTGGAGGGCCACTGTCCTGCCTGTTCTCCACCTCTCCCGGCTGCAACACACCTGATTTAGATGATCAGCTCATCAGCCAGCTCTGAAACAGCATTAAAACGATCCTGATTATTTGAAATAGGTGTGCTGCTCCTGGGAGAACTGGGAAACGGGCAGGACAGTGGCTCTTCATGACAGTTTGGACATCCCTACCCTGAAAATCCATACCACCCAATCTCTATAATCCTAAAACCAATTTTAAGACCTAACTCCTTATCTCCAGTGAATTAAGTGACGCTAATGCTGACCCCTTATCATGGCGAAACAAGCGGGCAGTGAATGCGATACAACTAACCCAAACAAAAATGAGCAGTGGTTCTTTTAGGTTGGAATGGCTGTCAGAGCATATGAAATTTGGTTTTCTTATTTCATTGGGACAGTGCGCATTAATCAACAAATGTAATTGAGGAACAAGCGGTGAAACTGGGTGAGATCTTTTTCGAGTGAACCTGTAAATTAAATTTTCCAATGTAAAATATGGACTAAATGGAAGCTGGACTACCTCAAGCGACACATTCAGCAGAAGTCATTAGAATGCTGTTGGAATTATACGAAGACTCGGGTGTACAACCATTGGAGAAGTGAGGACAACAGATGTGGAAAAAGTGTCGTCCAATTTGTGCTTATTCTAGTCACATTCAGTAAGGTGTTTTATTTATGGACATTAATCATTAAATTCTATGATGACTCGGTAATTTGTGAGTAGTAGAAATGCTAATAAGATTATCACAAGATACAGCACCCATCGTGGAAAATGTGAATGTTTTTATGTAAACAAAATGTTACGCCTGAAAGTTGTCTCATTTCTTCAAGGTCAAGACCCTCATCCAGGCCAAAACTGCACCTAACTGAATAAAGCCAAAGTTGTCTCTCCCAAACAATCCATGAGTTTTGTCTTTTTTCACTTCTGTGCCGAATTACATTAAAATCAAATTTATGGAAATTGTTGTAATTTGATCTTCTTAATAAGGCATTAACTTCTGATGTTGCTCACAGTGGTCCTCTGTGTGCTCAGACATACGAAAATTCGGAACACTGCACCTAACCCAAGGTGCACAATGGCCCTAACCCCTGAACCCAAAAAGCCTAACTGCTGAAACACCTAACCCTCTACCCTGCTCCGAACATGAACCCTTATCCAAACCTGAACTCTATCCATAACACCCAAATCGCTAGCCACTAACCCCAATCTTGACAGCAACCCCTGGATCCTAATCACTAGACACCCCCATCTCCGGGCCTGTTTTCCTCAGCCAGTCCAGAATCAGCATTGGAACGACCAAGAATGTTAGAATCGTGTGTTGGAAAACGGGCAGGACAGTGGCCCTTGAGGACACCTCTGTCCTACCCCGTGCCCTAACTTAAACAATCACCCCCAGACTCCCTTATCATAAACCACTAATATTTTAAATCCCAACCCAATCTCCTAACTCAAAATGGCAAAACGCTGAAGTACCTAATCCAGACTGCAAAACCACCTCACTCACATCTACCCTAACCTCTAATCCGAACCCCTCACACCATCCCTAAACTTTAATCCCCCGTGACACCTAAATCCTCAACTTTGCGTCATGATCTCAAGGTAAGTGTTAAGGGGTAGCGTAGGGGTTTGCGTTAAGGATAGTGTTAGGTTTAGTGGTAAGGTTAGGGTTTGCGTTAAGGATAGTGTTTAGGGTTAGGGTCAGGGTTTAGGGTTAGGGTTAAGGGTTAGGGGTTAGGGGTTAAGGGTTAGGGTTTGGGTTAGGGTTTAGGGTTAGGGTTAGGGGTTAGGGGTTAGGGTCAGGGTTAGGGGTTAGGGTTAGGGGTTAGGGGTTAGGGGTTAGGGTTAGGGGTTAGGGTTAGGGGGTTAGGGTTAGGGGTTAGGGTTAGGGGTTAGGGTTAGGGTTAGGGGTTAGGGGTTAGGGGTTAGGGTT